TCAGTTGGGATTGAGAAGTCTGAAGTAAATGTAGCAAAAGGCTAAAATGTGACAAAGCTAACACATGAGCATTGTGTTATGCCATGAGCACTGTGTTATGCAATATTCTTAACACTTTTCTATGTGTTTATATTACTATGTAATAATAAAAAACATAACAAGTTTGATAAAATATATCCCAAAGAAGAAATAGGATGAAAACCAAGGAAAAAACAAACTTACTTTGTAATTAAACCAATAGGAAGCAAACTCAGTACAAGTAGAATAGTATGTTGCTTTTGTTGTTTTGTGCTGTCAAGTCTACTACAACTCATAGAGACCCTATGACCAACAGATTGGGACAATGACCTAACCTACAATCTCTGACATGCTCAACACCATTGTTACAGTGATTGTATCGGTCTGAGGAAATGTGCTATCAAGGACCTTTCCACGGTGCTAAAGAACAAGGATATCTGTTTAAAGACTAAGACACACTTGATCAAAGCCATGGTTTTTTCAGTCGTTTCATGTATAATGACTAAGAATAACCAAAGAAAAACTGATGCTTTTGAACTATAGTTTTACAGAAGGGTACTGAATATCTCAAGGACTGCCTAAAGAACAAATAAGAACATCTTAGAGGAAGTGAAACCAGGTAGCTCCTTGGAGGTAAGGGTAGTAAAACTTCATCTTACTTACTTTGGGCATGTTGTCAGGTAGGTCCAGTTCTTAAAAAAATAGATCATGCTGGGGAAAGGTTGAGGAATGGTGGTGTTGTTGTTAGGTGTCCTCGAGTTGAGTACAACTCATAGAGACTCTATGAACAGCAGATCTGAACTTTGTCTTATCCTGCATCATCTTCACGCTTTCTGATACACTAGAGCCCATTGCGGCAGTTACTGCATCAATCCAAGTGGTTGAGGGTCTTTCTCTCCTTCACCAACCTTCAGTCTTTCCAAGCATCATGCCACTCTCTAAGGAATAACCCCACATAGCAACATGCCTGAAATATGCCTCATCATCCTTGCCTCCAAAGAGCACTCTGGCTACACCCTCAAAAGCACTGAGAATTGGGTTAGGTATATAGCATTTCAATCTATATGTGGAACAGATCATCTGGGAGGCTGGGCTCTATGAGAAAGTATGTGGCATCAGGATTGGAGAAAGACTCATCAATAACCTGTGTTATGCAGATGACATAATCCTGCTCGCTGAAACTGAGGAGGACCTCAAGTGTTTGCTACAGAAGGTCAGGGACTGCAGCCTTAACTAAGTTTAACATCAAGAAAACAAAGATTCTCACCACTGGGCCGACTGGCAGAATCATGATAGATAGTGAGGAGACTGATATTGTTAACAGCTTTATTTTGCTTGACTCCACAATCAACATTCTTGGTACCAGCAGCCAGGAAGTCAAAAGACGCACCTTAGTCTCCAGACTGATCCAGGCCATAGTCTTTGTAATTACTTGCCATGCATCAGAAAGCTGAACAGTGACTAGGGATGATAAAGAGTCTTGATGCCTTTGAGCTGTGGTGCTGGGGAAGAGTAATGAATATACCATGGACTGCTAGGAAAACAAACAGATTCATCCTGGAGAGTGTGAAATCTGGCTCTCCTTGGAGGCAACAATTCAGAAGTTCAGTCTGACATACTTTGGGCATGTTACAAGGAGGGACCAGTCATTGGAGAAGGACGACATGCTTTGGAGGGTGGAGGAACAGTGCAAAAAAGGAAGACCCTCGATGAGATGGATTGACTCAGTGACTAAGGTAATAGGGGTAGGTGTGCCGGAGATAGTAATGGTGGCTCAGGATAGAGTAGGGTTCAGAGCTGTTGTACATAGGGTCCCTATGAATCACATAACAACAACATGTAGCACTGGAGAAAATGGCATTGAACTAGGAGTTAAAATCGGGGTGGGGGGAAGGAGTATTGGGTGTTAAAACCTAAAACCTATGTGAAATTTGGAGGGTAGGAAGGAGCACTATCTCAAATAAACAAATAATCAAGACAAAGAAGACATCTAATTCATGAAAGGTTCCATGTGACAAAGAGTATAAAGATGCAGAAACTTAGGAGAAAGCTGTATTTCATTTCCAGTAAGAAGTTGAAGGGAACGAGTCATCTACAACTCTGATGGTACCTAACAACAACATTAGAGAAGAGGATGAAGATATAGGAGATTTTTGCTCATATCTAACTGTAACTTCCAGAGGACTCTCAATAAATGTGAAAATATAAGTGTGTTAATCAAAATGTATTAATGCTATGCAATACGTCAAAGAATGTATTGCAGTGGACAAATCAGAGACTTTCCAAGTGCAATACAATCTCCTGTTTGCTGGTACCAAGTGTACTGATTGTGCATCCAAGTAATATAAAGTCACTGACAGTTTCAATCTATTCTCCATTTATCATGCTGTTGCCTATTGCTCCAGTGGTGAGAATATGTTTTCTTAACATTGAGATGCAATTCATATTGAAGGCTGCACTGTTTGATCTTCTGCAGCAAGTGTTTCAACTCCTCCTCATTTTCAGTAAGCAAGGTTGTATTATCTGCACACTGAAGGTTATTGATCAGTCTTCTTCCAATCCTGCTGCTACTTTCTTCTTCATAGAGCACAGCTTCATGAATAATTTGTCCAGCACACAGGTTGAATAGGTATGGAGAAAGGATACAACCCTGGTATCCTTTCTTAATTTTAAACCATGTAGTGTTCCTGTGCTCGGTTTGCACAATAGCTTCTTGGTCTTGGTATAGTTTTCACATGAAAACAATGAAGTGTTCTGGGATTCCCATTCTTCCTACTGGTTATGATCCACAGGATTCCCATTCTTCCTACTAGTTATGATCCACACAGTCAAATGCCTTTTTGACTGTGTTGTTGTTATGTGCTGTCGAGTTACCTGCGACTCATAGCAACCCAATGTACAACAGCTCTAAATCCTGCTCTCCAACGCACCTATCTCCACTATCCCAGTGACTGAATCAATCCATCTCATTGAGGGTCTTCCTCTCCTGTGCTGTCCCTCCACCCTCAAGCATGAAGTCACTCTTTAAGGACTGATCCCACCTTGCAACATGTCCAAAATATGTCAGATGAAGCTTCAGAATCCTTGCCTCCAAGGAGAAGCCTGATTTAACCCTCTCCAGGATGAATCTGTTTGTTTTCTTGGCAGTCCATGGTATATTCAATACTTTTTTCCAGCACCACAGCTCAAAGGCATCAACTCTCCTTCTATCATCCCTAGCCATTGTCCAGCTTTCTGATGCATAGGAACTAATTGGGGGGGGAAAAATTGGCTGACACTGAAATATTACAGGAAGTACTATGTGATCAAGAGCCAGTAGAAATGAAGGAAGAAGCTTAAGCTGTAATGAAGGTACTGTTGGAAAAAAACCACCTCAGGAATCAATGGGATACCAACTGACATGTTTCAAATTACAGCTAAAGCCCTGGACATGCTCACCAGTCTATGCCAGGATATCTGGAGGACAGTTGTCTTGCAGACTGACTGGAAGAGTTCCATCTTTGTTCCCATTCCCAAAAAGGTGATCCAATAGAAAGAAAATGATTTAAAAATACCATTAATATTACAGGTAAGTAAAAGAAATACTGTTGAAGATCATTTGAAAAATGGCTAGAATACATAGAGAACTGTTGCAAGTTCAGACTGGAACCAAGTTGGTCTCTGGAGGCAAGGTTTTGAAACTCTGTCTCACATAGTTTGGGCATGTTGCCCCGAGGGACCAGTCCTTAGAGGGTGGAAGCCAAGCTTGGAAGGGTGGAGGGACAACACAGGCTAGAAAAACCCTGGATGAGACGGATTGATACAAGTGACTGGGACAATGAGTACAGGTGTTGGAGACAGTGAGACTGGCTCAGAATAGGACGTTCAGAACTGTTGTACATAAGTTGCTTTGAGTTACAGGGGATTCCATGTTACATAACAACATGGCCACCAGGGACATCATATTTTATGTCAAATGGATCCTGGCTTATATCAAAGCCTATTAGAACAGTATCTGTTTGTGCTTTATTGAGTATGCAAAAGCATTTAACCGTGGATCATAACAAATAATGGCTGGTGGCCTAGTGGTAAGGAACTGTGCTACAATTACAAAAACATGTTCCATCAGGCTTTTGGGTGTCAATCTGGGGTGATTTCCGGGCTGGTTTTTGTGAATCTCCCTAATAAAACGGGCTTGGAAGCAGGATAGGCATCCACTTTCAAAAAAGCTTATCTCTGGAAACTCTACAAACTTGGAGAAAAGATTAAAGTTTTCGTTCATAGGGTCGCAATAAGTTGTCTGTGACTCTATGGCACTTAACAACAACAACCAGCTACTACACTGGAGGATGGGCAATCTCTTCCTATGAGATTTATTGTCTCTGAAAACCCGCTGGCATGTCAGGTATGGGTCAGTTCGGACTCATCAACAACACTCCATCGAACCTGACAATATAATACTCCGTAGATTGCGAGTTTCAAGAACAATTCAATTTTGTACAGCATTCAAATTATAAATTATTGTCTAAAATTACTAATTCAATAAAATGGTTTCACGTGGTACTTTGGTAGAAGAAGCGATTCTCCAGTTGCCCATGCTCAAAAGCCAACTAAAAACTTTGATGTGAAACACTTTCACCTTTGATGGTAACATCTTGGGAATTCAATCAGTTGGCGGAAAATGATTTAATCCCGACCAAATGCGCATAATCTGTTTCTAAATCTCGATGGAGTATGCCAGCTTTTGTGCCTTGTAGGACTTGAAATCTAGAGGGAATCAGTGATCAGGGCTGCCGAGGTAGCGAGGCCTGTCAGCCCCTCAACGTCTGAAATGAGTACTACAACTCCCTGCTAACATTGGAAGGCGCGCGCTGTAATGACGGACAACCAACCGTGCGTGAGCAGGAAAAACTCCGCCTCCGAACTCCGAGGACAGTCTCCACCAATGGCAGAGCTCCCAGCAGAGAGCCTGCGGGTTAGGTTGCGAGATCCGGGCCGGGGGCGGGGAGGAGCCCAGGGGGTTCTGAAAGAGGTCGGCAGCTGGGTGGGTCCGGGCGATTGGCGTGCCCTTCATTAAAGCGGCGGTGGCCGGCTTGGGTGCCGGCAGTGGGAAGCGACGGCGCAGTTGGAAAATGCCGGTGCATTCCCGAGGGGATAAGAAGGACACGAACCACCACGATGAGATGGAGGTGGACTACGCTGAAAATGAGGGGAGCAGCTCGGAGGACGAGGACACGGAGAGCTCTTCAGTCTCGGAAGATGGAGATAGCTCAGGTGCGTGACCCAGCGGAGCTGGGACTCTGAACCCCTGCGCCAGGCGCGCGCCAGGCCGCTCTGCACGCGGGGTTTCTGCCTCCGCCTGGGAGAGCGGGGCGGGGAGAGAGGGAAGGGGCGGAGATTGGCTCTGGGCCGGTGGCGGCACACGGACCCGTAGCTGGGCGCTGTCTGGCCCCAGGCGTGTCCCTGCAGCGGGGCGGGGCTGGGCGGGGCACGGGCCTGGACTAGCCCAGTCGGTGGACGCCACTCACTGCTGCTCACATTTGGGCCCGCCCTTGGGACCTTCAGGCAGTGGCGCTGCTCCCTGAATTTAGGGAGAAGGCACTTTCCACGGCTTGTCTGCAAGATTCAGGAAATGCCTTCTCTTTCCTTGCCACTGATCTCTTCTGTTTTTCCGTCTCACGTGTAACTTCTCAGTGTGCGTGGATTGTCCGGGACGAGGGTAGATTGGTACTGGCTCATGACTGGTTTAGAATTTAGTAACCTTACTTTCCGAGTATTGAATTGCCTCTTGGACTGCCAAAAGAACAAACACATCTGGCTCGGAAAAAGTGCAACTAGGTTGTTCCTAAGAGGCAAAGGATGGTGAAACATCGTCTCGCTCACTTTGACATATTTTTAAGAGGAACCAGTCCTTGCAGAGAGCCTTCATGCTGGCAGAGGAAGAGGAGTCAAATAAAGAGAGGAAGACCTTCAACAAGATGGGTTGACACAGTGACTACCACAAGGGGCTTGAGCATGACACAGATTTTGAGGATAGTGCAGGATAGGGCAAAGTTCAGATCTGCTATGAGTTGTAAGTGACTCGCTGTTACAGCATCTTTCCGAGTCTGCTTGCTAGTCTGCATTTGACTTTAGTTTTATTTTGTAGGTTGATTTGGAAGCGGTCCAGTCTACAGCATCTCCTAGAACTTTTTAAACCTAAGAAGGGGCCAATTTTGGGGTGATTTTTTAATATCTAGAAGAGTCCATTGATGGTTACTGTTTACATCATGATTTAGTCAGAGCTAACATAGCTGACCCCCCCAGGTTTTCAAGGCTGTAAATTGCAAGGGAGGAGATTACCATCTTTCTCTTTCAGGTTTGTTGTTGTTGGTTGTTATGTGCTGTTGAGTCGCTTGCGACTCATAGCGACCCTATGTACAACAGCCCTAAACTGCGCTCTGTCCTGTGCCAATCGCACTGTCTCTGACACTCCCATCCCAATTATCCCAGTCACTGAATCAGTCCACCTCATAGAGATCCTTCCTCTCCTGCGCTGCCCCTCCACCCTCCCAAGCATGATGTCCCTCTCCAAGGACCGGTCTCTCCTCACAACATGTCCAAACTATGTTAGAGGGAGCCTCAGAATCCTTGCCTCCAAGGAGCCACCCGGTTTAACCCTTTCCAGGACAAATCTGTTTGTTTTCCTAGCAGTCCATGGTATTCTCAATACTCTTCTCCAGCACCACAGCTCAAAGGCATCAATTCTCCTTCTATACTCCTTGGTCATTGTCCAACTCTCTGATGCATAACAAGTGATTGCGAAGACCATGGCCTGTATCAGACACACCTTAGTCTCCAGAGAGACACCATTGCTCTTCAGTACTTTGGAGAGGTCCCTAACAGCAGACTTTCCCAAGGCAATGCGCCTTTTAATTTCCTGGCTGCTGGTGCCAAGACTGTTGACTATGGAGCCAAGCAAGCTAAAGCTGTGTACAATCTCAATCTCTTCACCATCCATCCTGATGCTGCCTGTTGGTCCAGTGGTGAGAATCTTTGTCTTCTTGACATTGAGCCTCAATCCATATTGTAGGCTGCAGTCCTTGACACTCTGCAGCAGGCGCTTCAGGTCCTCTTCAGTTTCAGCAAGCAAGGTTGTGTCATCTGCATAATGCAGATTGTTGATAAATCATCCACCAATCTTGATCCCACATTTCTCCTCATAGAGCCCAGCCTCCCGGATAATCTATTCTGCATATAGGTTGAAAAGGTATGGAGATAGGATGCATCCCTGGCGTACGCCCTTCCCAATTTTGAACCATGCAGTGTTCCCTTGCTCTGTTCTGACGACTGCCTCCTGGTCCAAGTATGTTTCACATTAGCACGATCAAGTATTCTGGGATTCCCATTCTTCTCAGAGTCAGCCATAGTTTGTTATGATCTACACAGTCAAATGCCTTTGCATAGTCAATGAAACACAGATAGACATTCCTCTGGTATTCCCTGCTTTCAGCCAAGATCCATCTCTTTCAGAGAAGCTGATGAATTTCAGCCACCAGGTAGGCTTGGTCTTTGAGTTAACAGCATAACTTTTCTATTTGCTAGGCTCCATAGCTCCTTTGATGTTTATAAGTTGATTAGTTTTGGCAGTTTTCAGTTTATTTTGGTATTTTTCCTCTCTTAACATAGACGGTTTTATTGTTTTAAGAGAGAGTGTGTTTATTATCACCACAAATCAATTTTGCAAACTTTAAAATGGATTATTCAGAAAGGAATGGAATATCTGTTTACTTGAATTTTTTTTATCCTTTCCTATTCAAATAATTTGGAAGCAGGAGTGGCATCCACTTCCTAAACAACATGCCTCTGGAAACTCTATGAACATTGAGAAACAATGATAGTTCTAGAACAGGATTCAGGTCTTTTGTTCATAGGATCACTATGAATAGTGCTCAACAAAAACATCATTCATATAATGGTGATGTGACAAATGGTAAAAACAAATCTTGAGGACAGCAAAATAGAGAACTGCCAGAAGTTAAGGCAGGGTTTAGCCGAGCCAGTGGCACTAGGGATACTATTGCTAATGTTAAATAGAACTTGGCTAAAAGCGGAGAATATCAGAGGAATGTCTGTATGTGTTTTATTGACTATGCAAAGGCATAACAAACTATGGCTTACCTTGAGAAGAATGGAAATTCCAGAACACTTAATTATGTTTATGTGAAATCTGTACATAAACCAAGAAGCTGTTGTCCAAACAGCAAGGGAACACTATGTGTTTTAAAATTAGCAAAGGTTGCATCCACCAGATGCTCTGCTGGAGAAGGAGGAACAATCTTCTCCTGTACCAGTCAGATCTGATTTGACAGTACACACAAAAAAATAATAAAATAAATTTTAAAAAAATTAGCAAAGGTGTGTGTCAGGGTGGTATTCTGTCTCTATACCAATTCAGTCTATATGGTGAGCAAATCACTCAAGAAGCTATACTTTACAAAGAAGAATGTGGCATCAGGATTAGAGGAAAGATCATCCAACAACCTGCATTCTGTATGACACAACCTTACTTGCTGAAAGTGAGGAGGATCTGAAAAGCTGCTGCAGAGGATCAAGGACTGCAGCCTTCAATATGGATTACATCTCAATATCAAGAAAACAAAATCCTCACCACTGGACCAATAAGCAACATCATGAGAGATGGCAAAAAGATTGAAGTTGCTAACAGTTTAGACTTGCTTGCTGCACAGTTAATGCCTTTGGTACCAGCAGTCAGGAGATTGAGAGATGTATATCGTTTGGAAAGTCTACTGTCAGGGATCTCTCAGAAGTCCTGAAGAGCAATGATGTTAGTTTAAAGACTAAGGTACACCTAATTAAAGCTACAATCTGTCCTGTCACCTGCTATGCATCTGGTAGCTGGACAGTGAATTAGGATGAAAGGAAAAGAATTGATGCGTTTTAATTATGATATTGGAGAAGAGTGCTGAATATTGCAAGGACTGTCAAAAGAACAAACAGATAATGTTTTGGAGAAAGTGCCAGAATATTCCTTGAGTGCAAAGATGATGAAGCTTCACCTCACATATTTTGGACATGTTGGGAGAAGCTAGTCCTTGAAAAGGGGCATCATCCTTGGAAAGGCAGAGGGACAGTGAAGGAGATGAGGACCCTCAGCAGTATGGATTGAAACAGCATCTGCAGCAATAGACTCAAATGTATTGAGGATGAAAAGGATGACACAAGATAGGACGGAGTTCAGATCTTTTGTTCATAGGGTTTTATAAGTCATACTTGGCTCTATATTATTACTATCTTTTTTTTTAGGAATAAAACACTCAGGATATGATGATTCACTTCTTCTTAGGTAACTGACAGATAGACCTTTGTCTGACCATCAGTTTCCCAGACATGATTCTGGGGCAAATATTACAAAGCTCTTTTAGTTCTGCAAATTAGGGGCCACTAATGCCCACACAGTAAGCCTGAACCTGAAGGCACGTGGCTCTACGGAGTTGACAGACCTAGACTAGGCTCAGCTCTGTTCCATGCTGGCCTCTGGTTCTCTGCCACTTTTATTTTTCCTGCTGCCACTTCTGCTGGGCTACTGTCTAATCAGACATGTCTCAGTCTTGCTCCATTTCTCAGTCTTACCTCATACAGGAATCTCAGACCAGGATGCCCTGTTCCTTCTGTTTCTTTCTTCCTTTTTTTTTTTTTTTAAATGAAAGTTACAGAGACTTTGGATTTTCATTAATACATTGTTGCACACTTTCCTCCCTACCCAATCCTCCCTCCAGTTTGTTTTTCTCTTTGAAGAAAAAAAAAATTCTTTCCCTGCCACCCCTTCGATTTACTATGCAGCTCTTATTCTGGACTCTTGTCATGACAGTAATACCTAATAATATATTCTTTTTAAACAGTTCTCTCCCTCATCTGTTTCAGTGCAGTATACATTATTTATCCCCTCTTTTCTTAAGTTCCTCCCAACCTTGATGTCAGTCTCGTTTTACAACAGTGGCACCATGCAGTATATGTCCTTTTGTGACTGAGATATTTCACTCAGCATAATATCCTCCAGAGTCACCCATTTTGTATAATATTTTGTGAGTTACTTATTTTTCAATGTGTTGTAGTATTCCATTGTGTGAATATATGACAGTTTAGCCATTCATTTGTTGATGGGCACTTGGGTTGTTTCCAACTTTTTGCAATTATGAACAGAGCAGCAATAAACATAGGTTTGCATATATCTGCTTGGGTGGTAGTTATGGTTTCTTTAGGGTGTATTCCCA